AGACCTTCCTGTAGGGCCACTCCGGTTTCCTTTGGGGACTGGGCACCCACATAGCTGAGCTGTGGGGTCGCATCGCACCCGCAGGTTCCTCGCTGCACCAGCACAGCTCTTTAAACAGAAACCGGAGCCTCGGATTTCCGGTCCTTAGGTTTCTGAAGGCTTCTCCTGACCTTTACAGTTACAGGATTCAGACTTGCTGCTGCCGCAAGTCACCTCAGTCGGCGCTACCGCCAGACGGACGGCTGCAGATTTTTCTGGAGAACGGGTTTTTTTGTGATTCCTGAAAATTCATCTTTGACTGCTATTCAGAAAAACGTCCCGTGCTTCTTCCCGTATGTCATATGGAATTTATTTCTGGCGCGTCTAATAGTCACGTCTCAGTTCCTTCCCACCGCGGGCTGTCAGGCTCCTCTGACCCACACCCCATCCGCAGCACCAACCAACTGCACAGCACCGAGGGAACAGCAGCGTTACGGACAAACAAGCGACTGCTGAGCATGTGTGCCCACGCTGCGACGGCCAAAGGCAAGCAGCACAATGGAGAGACCATCAAAACCTTCCGCACTGAAAACTGCTGGGACACTTTCTGACATTGTCCTCCTTGTACCCCCACCCCTGCAGCTGCAAACGACGACCTGAAGCCACCTGACACAACAGGAGCGGTGCAAAAAAAGAATTAAAGCTCCCGACGTGCCAGGCGCTAACTGAGAAAATCAAAAAATCTGCCAGGATGAAATGTAACCTCGTTTTAGGAAATGTTGAAATCATTTCTGCAGAAGGTTAAAAAAATAATAATCGGGCTGAGTCAGATACACAGCATGGAAAATTTCATCCCTAATGTTTATAGTTTAGCAATTGAAAGCAAGGCCTTATAATGCCGTGTTGGGTAAACTTAACTAATCTGCAAAAATTCCAGTTCTTATAATAACAGTAACTGAATCAAGGCCGAACAGATTAAAAGCAAATACCGCAGCAATATTCATACGGAGACGAGCGCTATCACAGCATTAAAAATAATATTAAAATTTGGCGTGTACACGGAGTATCCAAGGAACTCAGGATGTTTTCCAGACAGTCATTTATCAAACCTTACAATATCCTCACAAAACACACGGCACGCATTCTTCAGATAAATAGAAAGGCTCCCTCCAACACCGTCCACCAGCAGCGCAGCCGTGCCGCCGGACTGCCGGCTCCCAGCCTCCAGCCCCAGCACGGCTAAGCCGATTTGAGGCAGCAATTAGGAGGGAAGAAAGCCCAAGTCACTGCATCCATTCCTCACTTCATGCTTAGCAATAGAAACAGGCTTGTCTTTGCATACTACATCACCAGCCAGCTCCTACTGAAATCAAACAATACGCATTCTTAAAGAATCCGAGAATCATAAATGTTGGAAGAGACCTCGGAGATCCTCCAGTCCGGCTGCCAATCCGTCCCCACGGTGCCCACTGAGCCACATCCTCCCAAGGCTCAAAGCAGCGCCTCAACAGCCGCCTCCAGCACCGCAGGCAGCAGGCAGGGCAGGACTTTGGTATCGCATCACACCGCTACGAGCACCACAAGTCCTGCAGCTGGAAGGGAGAAGCACGCCGGCTCCAGGCTCCACGCTGCAGAATAAGAAGGCATTTACACTTTACTCTCCCCTGTTCCTATTTGTACGATGCTCCACTTGTGTCAGGGCAAGCTCTCTCCCAGGCTGAGTGCTCCCCATCCCCAGACTGCGGCAGCCAGGACTGCCCCACAGCACATCCCTGTGTGCACAGCTGAGCTCAGCGAGCCAGCAGCTGCCACAGCACAGACACCAACCCAGCCTCTAGCCTCCAGCCTCCAGCCCGGGGGACTCGGGTCACTCTGCATGCCAGCAGCTCTCCCACAGCAACTGAAGCCTCCATCTGACCCCTGCAGCAAAGTGCTCCGCTAAGCTACAGGCAGCTGGAAACAAGTTACAGAGCACTGGAACGTAGCCTCACGTGCCAGTAAGGTGTCTGATGCAAGATGACAGAAAATGCTCAGCAAGGGAGTATGTGGAAATGGGGAGGGAGGAGAACCAGTGCTGTGTCGAGCGTAGCCACTGCCCCATGCAACACTGCTCTTTTCAGGCCAAGGAAGCACTCTGTGGTTACTCCCAAGCACATAAAAACACCCACAGAACACCTGGGCTTCAGGAGCACGGTGAGCAGTATTCAAACGCACAACACTTCCAGGAGGAGCCTGAGGATCTGAGCACCATGCAAGCAGCACGGTGACTTCTGCTGCCCTGCAGGAAAGTCCATCTCAAAAATAACTAAAACACAACATAAGCCCTCAGGTGGGCACAGCCTGTCCGCAGGACATGGCCTCCACCAGCAGCCGCTCTGCAGGGCCCCAGCTGCAGCCCAGCAGTGCATGGGGCTCCAGGGCTTTCTGCTGCAGGCCAGCATGTGCTCAGCCCCCGACATGAGCACAAATCAGCGCAGAGAGAAGCCCAGACAAATGTTCTCAGCACAGCGCTGGGGCCAACCGCCTTCTCTAAAAGCAGCACATGGATAGAAGCAGCACGTGAAATCCAATGAGCTGCATTTTAGTGCTTTCTGTAAAACTTAACATTAATCCCACAGCTATCTAGCCTGCTTCTGATTCAGCATTAGCAATAATAAATGCTTACTTGCAAAGACAAGCCAGATGTGTTTAATCAATGCATCGATCGTGCTATTTAAAAGCAATAAAGCCAGGCCCTCCCTCGGCTGCTGCTTCCCTCTCAGGAGCAGCTCCATGGAAGGCAGCAGCACATAACAGCAACCAGACCGAGTCGGGGCAGGTGATAATCAGAGGCTCTTCATCAGCTGCCAAGAGGAAGAGCATGAAGTGAACTGCACAGCCCACCTCTGCAGGCACAGTCCACGCAGCACCCGTGGTGCTGGGGACAGGAATGGAGCAGTAACACAACATATCTGGAAAAATGGCAGCTGGGGGTCAGGACGCCCTCATTAAGGTGCAACGTGCATCTTCGTGGCAGCAATGTTCAGAATCCTTCCCAAGTCACCAATGCAGTCGTGATCAGCATGATTTCGTAGACGCCTCTGTTAAGGCAGCACTTCATGAGCATCAGCCACCCCATCAGCGGCACTCGTGGTCCATGGTCTAGTCTCAAACAGTAGAAATGGAGCTGAGCTTCCCCACAGCGTTTCCATGGGAGGGAAACATCCACACAGCCCTGTGTCCCCAGCTCCTCCAGTACCGACATCCTGCAGCCAAGAACACAGCAGCAGCACCACGGCACCCACGGCACAGCCCCACCAGCTCTGCTGCCCATCCGGACAGATGAGGAGCAGGGCACCCAACTGCTGGAGAGGCGGGCTGAGCCGTGGCTGTGGGTTGCAGGAGGCAGGCAGCAGTCCCGGCAGCACTCAGGCTCCTTTTCAGTCACACAGGCTTGCACATGTAACAGCTGGTGTGAGCAGAGCGTTGCCGGCCACACTGCCAGCCCAAAATTCCAGACTGCATCAACAGGCAAAAATAAAGGTGCCTCAGGAAGACGCACCGGCAGGTCACCAACACGATCCCGGCTCACGCAAGGGCTGCAGGAGACACCTCCAGCACAGAGTCCACCTCCAGGCGAGCAGAGGCCACGCAAACCACTCTGCTGGAGACCAACGGGACTTCCAAGCAACAGTGAGGCTCCAGAATTTGTCACTGGAATCCCCAGGGTCTGAATTCCCTCTGACTCTGAACGCACCTCTAGAAAACAACTATTTCTTCAATCAGGCGAAACCAGTATTTTCACTGAGACGGCAAAAACAATCAGGCAGGAATGAGGTTTTTCTGTAACCCAAGGGCAGGCAGAAGCAACTTTTAAGTTTTTCAGATCCAAATTAAAGGTTAAACTTGAAAGCACCCCACGGCCCAGTGGGTTGCACAGAAGTGCATGGCTGTTTGTGAAGTGCCTTTGTGCACCACCTAAAGCCCCATGGCGTGAGTTAAGAAGGGAGTGTTGAAATTTCCATGCTTTTTTTGGCACGTATCGGAGCCTCTAAAACTGTTGTAACCGTGTCGTGGATGTGAGTACGTACAAACGACTACAAGCTCCAACACTGCCCCATATGTTAAACAACTCACTAATATTTCCCAGTATTAAAAGACGAGGCATATTTCAGGGACGTATATTGGAGCTGAAGAATGATGTATCGCAGTTACAGCCCCATGTTTTCTTTGGCTCGCACTCAACCCTTTATAGCAACGCATTCGGTTCGTTCACTGACAGCCGCAGAAGAAGGGTGTGATCCTGGCCGGGCGCAAACATTACTAATATTTTTACATCATATATTTACTTTAACCGAACTCATTTATCAGCCGTAATTAAAAAAAAAAAAAGTGGCTATCACTGGCTTACAAGTAACTGCAGCCCCGCCGAACGGGATGCAGGGGCGTCACAGATTTCTATCGCAGGGGGTGAGGAGGGAGAGGGGCAGCGCCGCGGGCAGAGCAGACCTGCTGCTCCCAGCATCCCAGCCGCGGGAGGCTGCGCACAGGTCCCAGCAGGCAGCACCCAGCGCGCTCCAAAGCAAACAAAGGCTCCAGTGTCCCCCCAGTGCCATTGATCCCTTTCCTTTTGTGAACGTACAGTCGGAATACTTTCAGAAAGCCCTTTCTATTCTGCTCAGTCCCGCTCAGAGCACGTCCTGATTTCCGCTGCCAGCTGGTCGCATCTCCAGAAAGGAAAGGCTTTGCCTTAGGACACGTACGTGCACCTCCTCCAGCAACGCTGCAGTCACCACATCAAAACCCCACATCCCCCTCGCTGAGGAAAGAAACAGCCCTGGTCAGTAAACGGAACTCCTGAACGTTCCGAAACGGCGTTGAGGCCGAAAAAAACAAACCTGCGTTCCCACCCTTTGCACAAGCAGCCCCGGAAATGAGGACGAGGGATTTTACGCCCTCGGAGCTTTCCTCTGAGCTCAGCACTTCCAAAACCATTCACTTATCTCAACAACGGAGTCAAATCAGGAAATTCGGTGTCTTACTTTGTATTCTGGAATTGACAAATGGAGGAGAGAGATTGTCATGTGACCCGAGGTCTCTGCTCGCCATATGATCATAGTGAGTCCCATCTCCATAGTTCTGGGGAGAAAAACACAATTTTACACATTTTAATGGCATTTCTCAAAACCTACAGGTCCACGCTTCCCTCCTACGCTTCAAGTCGGCCACACAAATTACTTCGCCTCTTGCTGTTTATCTATTCCGCGGAAAGTGATGCGTCACAGAGCATTTTTAAAGCTGTTTCCAATTTTTATTTCGTTAGTAATTGACTTTGGTTTGCTCTCGTGTAATCCTGAGCGGGCAAAAGAGAAGAGGCTCCTGCGCTGTGCAGTCCTGCAGCGGCCCTCCCTGAGCACACTGCCTTCTTGCCCACAGCACAAGCATGAGCAGGAATTAGGCATTTATTCAACGTTCTGCTTCTCAGTTTGATTCTGACGTAGGAACTTGCTGTCCTAAGCACCTCACTGCTACGTACATACGACCGCATGCTGTGGGTGTGCAAAGTGGCACAACGCTGAGAAGAGAAAGCTGTGGGGAGACCTGGCTGTGGCCTTCCAGCACTCAAAGCGCATGTGCAGGAGGGAGAACGGCTGTTTGCGAGGGTGGGCAGTGACAGGATAAGGGGAATGGTCTTAAACTGAGAAGGGGAGGCTTAGGTTGGATATCAGGAGGAAGTTTTTCACTCACAGGGCGGTGAAGCACTGGCACAGGTTGCCCAAGGAGGCTGTGGATGCCCCATCTCTGCAGGCATTCAGGGCCAGGCTGGATGTGGCTCTGGGCAGCCTGGGCTGCTGTTGGTACGTAGCAGGGTGTTGGAACTGATGAGCGCTGTGCTCCTTTGCAACCCAGGCCATTCTAGGATCCTGTGAGTCCAGGAAGCAGCCCCTCCTGGGCTCGGTGTCTGTGCACACAAGCAGTGCTTTGGGGCTCAGCACTCGCGCACTCAGCACAGCCCTCTGCCCCCTCCGAGCAGCTCAGCCTTATCTGCTGCAAACTGCAAGCCGTGTTCTGCTCCTCGGGCTCAGAGGCAGGCACAAGAAACCCATTTTCCTGCCGTGGAAACGCCAGCCCTGCTTCACAAAGAGGAACTGGCGAGGTCAGGCTGTGTGTGAGCCCACGTGCGGCCTGATTGAAACTCCACAACTCTCCCCAGGCTCACGCTCTTTTCTTTACATCCCAGAACGTAATTGTAAGCTCACATTCAAGTTTTTGCATGCATAAATAATGGTGTGTGCAAATTTCGAATTTACTTTTCAAAACATTTTTCCCCAGGAAGCAATACAAGTGTCAAGCCCGAAAAAAGGGGATAAAAATAAAACTGACAGATGTGAGCAGCGATGACGCAGCGGATGCTGGGCAGGGGGAGAAGGAGAAAAGGTGTGGGGCTGGGTCCCCCCAGGGGTGTTTGGGGACCCCTCACATTGGACACCACCCAGAAATTTGCCCAGTGGGGAAGGAGGAGCTCAGGCACCAGCCTGGATCCTTCTCATTAATTAGAAAACAATTAAAATGCAATTTAAACAAACTGGGTAAATGGGAGCACGAGTGAGAGCGTGGGCACTTTCTGCCCAGCTAGGAAATAGCAGTGTGTGCATGGTGGGGCTGGGACTCCCCCCAGGAAGGGGGGCTGCCCAATTTGGGGGTGCCAGCATGCAGAAACCCAAAACAGAGCTCACAGGGCGCTCAGCACCCGCAGTGCTGCTCCGTGTCGCCGGCCAGACAGAACTGGAACTCCAGCTATCTGCAGCAGGTGCCAGATTCAGTCACAGCATCGGGCATGAATATTAAAATTAAAAAAAAAAAAAAAAAAAAAGGTTTCAAAGGGAAGACAAAACTACAGCCAACTTTGCATGCCCATTCCTCTATGCAATCAGGTGTAAGACTCGTAGTTAAGATTGTGAATTTACATAGGCAGGAAGTCTGGTTTGGGGAAAAAGATTAGATATACTTACCCTGGATGGACTAGGATGTCCTGCATTCCCCCAGGACCCTGAGCTAGTTCTGTCTTCTACATCTAGGGACAAAAAAGTTCTTTAGGCTTTATTGCAATAATTCTTTCCTTTTGTATAGGCACTTTTAAATTAATGTTTCAAATTAATCTCCTGTTGCCTTTAATTAAGAATCAGGCACGGGGCTACTACGACGGTAGTGGCTTCTGACCCACTGCTTAAATTAACTCATTTAAATTCACAGCAGCAATGAGACGGACCCTCAGGACCCCGAGGTCTGAGCAAAAGCAGCCCTGGCAGCTCAGCGAGCGCTGCACCAGGGATGAGCAGCACGCAGGAAACAGACCCAGCTGGGACGGGCGCCTCAGGAGCACCGGGGTCACAGCAGCTCCTCCCCACCCCAGCTAGGATCCCACTTCCAAAACCTGTCCTGGCATTTGCACCAAGAAAAGCACATCCCCCAAGGCAAGCACGTCGCTATTTTCCCCTTTATCAACACAAAATTTACTGCAGTCATTGGCAGAATCCCCCCCCCCCCCCCCCCCCAAATAATTTAAGACCACCGGCATCTAGGTGGCTCCTGCCTCCATTTCAGAGGGCGTCTTTAAGAACAGCACCGCTCTGCGATGCTACGCGGTGATGAAAGCTGCTGCTGGGGATAAGGACCAAAGGACCAGCGCTGCTGCCATCTGCTCTGAACTCTGCGGCTGAACACCGACGCCTCCCGCGCAGCTGATGATGCAGCAGGGCTGGGCAGCGTGGGCATGCCCTGCGACGGCACTGGGTGCAAGGAGGGAGCTGCAGCACAGCTCTGCTCTGACCTGCAGGCGGTCCTGAGCGCAGCCAGGAGCTGCTCTCCACCATCCTTACGGGCAGCTCCCAACACGGGACGTTCTGCGACTCCACTGCTGTGCGACAGCAGCTCCCTAGCCAAAAAACAGGGCACAGCTCACGGAGACGCTGCGCCACCCGCGAGCGCCTGGGCAGCGTGCTCAGGAGCAGGGTTTGAATCCTGGCGGCGCCGCGTGGAGCCAAGAGACGGACTCTACAATCCTCGTGCAGCACACCAACGTCTCAGCACCATTTCTTGCCTTCTGCCAGGCAAAAAAAGCCGAAAACATCTGTGCTTGGTTTTGCTGAAGTCCTGAGCGCCCTCAACACCACGCAGGCGAGGAGCTGCCCTTCCACCTGGCACCGGTTCCTCCAGACCCACAGGGCTGGTAGGCGCTCGCTGAGAAGAGATCCAGCATCAGCACTTGGAAACGCGGGTGCTGGGACCAAATCTGGTTGATTTCCAGTATCAAAAGCCGAGACGTTTGTTCAGTTTAATACTTTCTCCCAGTTACAATCCCTATTATCTCAATAACAGATGAACGCGATAATAGCACAAGACACTCTTAGGTAAATATTTAATTAAGCTCCAGAAAAAGAAAGAAAATGTGTATCATTTACCTGACAGATCAGATCAACCATTCTATTAGGTTAATTAGGCATATTTTTAAAAATCATTTGTGTTATGTAACAGGCAATTAACTCTATAGAGCCCTGATCCATCGCCTGTTGAAAATCAATGGATATTATCCCACTGACTTTGACGGGCATCGTACCACCCTCACGCTTCCAAAATCCATGCAGAACCCATCAGAAAAATTAGCGAGGGAAACGCAGACGGAGACAAGCTGACACGAGGCACCACCCGCAACGTTTTGCACACCTCTGCTCCATACTTCTTCGCACGGACACTGAATGGAGACCTGGAGCCACAGGGCTGGGTGCTGCAGGAGGAGCAGGACGATGCGCAGCGCAGCGCTGACGGAAGGACCTCTGCTTTCCTGAACAAGGAGGCATTATTCCCGCATCTCCCCACCAGGAATTGCATTTATTAGCGTGCTTATTTTATGTAAAAGCCACCTAATCTGAAATAACACTTGCTGTCACAGCCCCTCACGCTGGCTTGTGGTCAGGGCTAGCAGCAGGATTTATGTGACCATAAAGCTTTTCAGGCTGCTGCGCGGGACATTTTTATTTATATTTTAAGAATGCAGATGCTGAAGTCCCGGGGCGCTTTAACGAGGCACCTAAGCAAACACTCTGAGCTGTGTTTACAGCCACAGTCCCCCTCCAAATGCTCCAGATGCCCCAGAGAGCTGAGCCCTGCCCAGATGCCCTTTGTGGCGCACCACGCGTGTTCCTCCCAGCTTTGCAATGGGCACAGGGCACTGTCACAACACACTGAGGTGCTGCAGCGTGTCCAGAGAGGGGAATGAGGCTGTGAGGGGTCTGGAGCACAGTGCTGCGGGAGACCGAGGGAACGGGATGGGCAGGGAAGAGGAGCTGATGGTCGGTGGGCATGGTGGGGTGGGCTGGCAGATGGACTTGATGACTTCAGAGGTCTTTTCCAACCCTAATGACTGTATGATCGCATCCCTCCAGAGATCCAGGAAATGCATCACCGTGGAGCTGGCTGCTCCTGCCCACTGCTCTGCTCTCGTTTGAGCCCACACAGCACTCAAGTTCTTCCACCAGAGTTCGAAGTTTTGGACTCCGGTCAGAAAACGACAAGCAATGGCTCCTATCCCTTATCTTCAGGGGTTGTTTCTTAGCTTGCGACCAATTTTCTTTGTATTTAGACTTAAATGTGCAAACTACACTATATTACTCTGCAAAACATCAGTGAGAAGGCTTAATTAAGTAACACTGACAGATAAATCCATTTCTTTTGCAGTAATCAAATCAAAGCAGGTTGACATAACACAGGAACTTAATACAGTTATTCCCTCGTAATTGGAGAGAGGCCCTTTACTTCTCATTAAGCAATCTTCTGGGTATTGGCATAATAAGAAGGCTCAGGGTTTTAATACTGCCCTATATAAGCCCCAAGATACAGACCCCTTAAGCAAACATGCCAGATTATCTAATTCCTTGATCACAGTGGAAAATGTAGTTATTCTTTTAACTACTAATTCTTCATCTCAGCTCCAGTCAAAAAGAAGGAACTCTGTCTACAGCACGCACCAGCAGCCCCATACCAGCACCAGCTGGAGCTGAGGAAAAAGATAGATTATTTCTTTTTAATAAATGAGTAAAAAAACAACACTAAAAACTGCCTGTTTATCTCAGAAACTGAGACCCCCACAGCACTACTCTGCTGTGAGCCCATAAGGGTTCCGTTCCCATGGGGCAGCCCAGACCACTTCCACCTGAGCAGCACCCAGCCCAGCAGCGCTGCTCCCTCTGCAGAGGGGAAACAAGGCTCAGCAACTGGTAACAAATCAATCCAGCTCAGTTTGCTAATAATTCAGCGTGATAAATACCGCCAGATTTCCAAGCCCCTCAACCTTTTGCACCACGAGGAGTTGCCACTTCTGTGATCCGGACAGCAGAGCCCTAATTGCACCCAGGTCAATGTAATGCTCTCCAGGGAGGCGCCCTCAGAGCTGGGATTCATCCCAGAGCACACAAACTCGAAGAGAGATGTCATTTTTCTCCAGAACTGGACTCCTGCAAATCGACCTCTCCCAAAAAGTTCCCAAGCAGAAATGTTAGGATTTAGGAAATCAGGGTTTGTTTTTTGTTTCTTTTTTTTTCCTGGAAAAACACCCAAGCACATAAAAAACAAACCCTCCTTTGCAGGAATCATCCAAACAGAAAGTTGGGAAGCCATCCAGAACTGCAGAAGTGATACGGGATAATAAGTTAGGTGACCGTCATTTGATTTTGAGACTCCCACCACTTTGAATAACAAATCTGGGCACACACGTGGAGCCCGAAAATCACAGTGTGGGAGAAATGTTCCCTTGGTGAGCAGCAGCACAGCACTGCAGGCACTGCACCCCCAGGAACAGACGTGGAGGGGAAAAGAAACAAAGCTCAGGGCTGCCCAACCTGACCAACCAACTGAGGGCTGCCTCAGGAAGGTGCCACCTGAACCATCACGCACCAAAAAGACTGGATTGGCACACTGACCTCTGAGCAAAGCGACAGCAGCTTAGCAACTGGGTGAGACCACAGGAAGAAGGAAGGGGCACGGTGGTTGATCCTTTGGTAGCAAAACTGATCAGCAATGCTGGCTTCCCCACCATTCCTCCCCTGCACGCTGTTGAGCCGCGTGCCAGCAAGGAGCTGGGGGTGCTGCACCCAGAGAGCACTTTGGTCCCCACCATGGTCTGAGCAGCACCTGGAGCAAGGGGAGAGCAAGCACTGGGCTAGCACTGCACTCTGCATGATGTTATCTGGAGGGACACAGATCAACACCCCCACCTGCACACATAAAGCCAGAGCAAGCCCAGAACCTCCTGTGTCACTACAGGATGCTGATTTGGGGTGCTTTAGTGCTCAAAGTCGTAGCCGTTGGCTAAACCTCCTTGGTGCAGGAAGACAGGGGTGAGATTCTCCTTCTGGAGGAGCTTCCTGCTGTCCTCCATTCTACACCATTGTCCTCAGTAATTTTCTTTAAATTCTCTCTTCTGGGAGAACCCTGCCCCTTATGCGACGGTGCTGGAGCAGGAAATGCAGAATTCTGCTCACCTTCACATCAGCCCATACGTGCTTTTAAAGGGGCTGAATAAACACTGCACCAAGCCAAAGCTGGCTCCTGAAGAAAGGTGATTTCATGTACATCAGTGCAAAATAACAGTCACCCGTGTGGTTACTCACGGCTCTGGCTCAGAAACAAAACTGCATTCTTCTAATTCCAGAACAATCTAACAAACAAACCTGGAAAATATTTCAGTGCAGCAAAGCACCAACACAACTGGAGTGACTTCGTACCCACCGTGACCAAACAAAGAGTGCACGTCAGGGACCTCTGAGGAAAGCTGCTTGGAGAAAGAAGAACCAGGAAGGCTTTGGACAACAAAACAGTCCAACATCGGATGGACTGGATGACTTTTTAGGTCTTTTCTAACATTGGTGATTCTACGATTCTGTGATTCTATGATCTTGTTTTTTGTTTTTTTTTTGTTAATATGAACATGTATTGTTAGCACGGGGAGTCAAACACGTGCTTATCCTATTTTTGTATTTCTGATACTTTATGTTTTCAGCAGATCACACTGCCAGAATA